TCACCTGGATGGAACTAGAGTCTATAATACTGAGTGACCTCTCACAGAAACAAAGATCCGAGTATCACATGTTCTCACTCATATAATGGACCTTAAACATCCAATGCAATACTATACGAAAATGACTGACAGTACTGGGAAACTATGGGGGGGGAGGGAGATGGGATTAACAGTAGCAAATATCTGTCTGGGAACGGGGAAACACCCCATATCAACAGGGTGCCTGAATGAAACGCAATTGTATACCTAACCCTTAACTGTACCCCACAACTTCATAATAAAAAGTAAATAAATAATTAAAAAAAAAAAAAAAAAGAAAAGAAAACATTACAAAAGTGTCTGACCAAGAATTATTTCAGAGACACAGACCTTAGAATAAAAACAACAAGCTGTCATCTCGGGCTTCTCAACCCGCTCTGCAATGTGCTCGGGTCACACACAGTGAACTCATGCCCACGTGGGGCTCCTCTGAGAAGGCATCCCCGAGGTCATGCCAACTTAAGACCTCGTTCGTGCTTTCCCAGGCAGCCAACAAGCCACAACCACCCTACCCGAGCACACCACAGAAATGGCATGGCCGTGCCAGGTCCTCAAGGCTCTAAAGCAGCCTCACCCCACACTTGTGTGGCTATGGACGTTGTGAGCTGTCCCATCCAGCCTGAGGAGGAAAGCAGAGCTGCCACCTCCAGTTAAGAGCAAATTCCCTAGGAAGTGACTCTAAAAGGTTGTGAATTCTTCTCTCAGGGTCATAATGGGACTTGCTTTAAGTCTTACTGCATGAGAAAACTATGAATTTTGTCATCTAATGAAGAACCTAACAAGTCTGTTGTACTCGTATGAATTATATTTATGTCATCTTATCGTCAGAATTTTCATATAGAAGCATTATCTTTAACTTGAATGGAATGGGAAACGAGTGTGAATTAAATTAACTTACAGTGATTATTCTGACACAGGAAACAAGACTTATATGGAACATGGCTATAACGAAGAGAAACGTAGTCAAGTGTCTGGAATCACAGTGGTCAATTAAAGAGTAACAGTGCAGTGGAAAGAACACTGAACCCAGAACAGGAAGATGTGGACTTTTGCCATGGCATTGACGCTTACTGGTTAAGTGGCCTTGAGGAGCTACCACTAGGTTTTATCAGCTCTCTGAATGTGCAGATCACTGCCTGTCCTGAAATTAGATATACTTATACACTTGTTTAGTAGTATTTCATGTCACATACATTGTGCTTCCACTCTAACTGATGTAAACTTGTCAGCTCCTGGGGCGTGTGGAGGTAGCTGTAGGTCACAACATTCACAGAATTGAGCTGAACAATTTCCTATGACTTAAATCATAGTCCAGAGATCACATTTTAAAATGAAATAAATATTTACTACATTCATACCCACCATTGGGCAGGTATTTCAGTAGGACAAAAAAATTCAACCTTGCTCATAACACTAATGAAATGTTACTTGGCGGGCTTTTAAAAATATAGCCTCCTCCCCTCTTTCTGGCATACCTCTGATTAGTTGATAATCTCTCTCACCACTGGATGTCACTTTTGCTCCAAAAGAAGTCAACCCAAACTAACTTCAGTAATTGGACTCTGATCTCTAAGATACCCCTAAAACCTCAAAAACCAGCTCTTATAATTTCTAGTAATTTCTTGCTGAAGTCTGCCTTAAGATACTTTTAGGATCCAAACACAATGCAAAGAAGAATAAGTAAGGTTTCTGGGGTCATCACATGTCATAGAAACATTCACTGAAATCCCATCAATACTCATACACTTTTCAGTACTTATAAGGACAGAAAGGAAGACAAAAGACATATACACGAAAAAAGCAAACAAGTATGCATATCCAGGTGTAGGACACTAGGTTTCCCATATAGTAAAGGCTGATTTCCTAATTAAACTACATTTAGCATTATGGGAAGATAAAGGTATTACTCAGAAACCAAGAGAGTGGGGAAGTCATGACTTTCATTCTACTTATGCTGTCAGTCACATAAGGCATTTATATCCAGTGACACAGAGAGGTGCCTAGGAACTACGTCCTTGGTTTTCAAATGCAGAATATGTGAATGATCTAGAGTTATTTTCTCTTATGCAAATGTGAATAGTATAGACATTAAAACACCGGTGCCTACACCAGATGTAAAGCATCTTCCTCACATCTCAGATCTCTCCTCCCCACAACCAATGCCACTACTAAGGGAATTTATTATATGGATACATGTCAAATCATCTGTGAGATTTTACACACACACAACTATGTCCCTCCCACTTTGCAATCCTGTTGAAAAGAACTGCTTTATCACTGAGACAATGAGTCACAGTTACTGATAGGACCTGCTAAATTCCTTGGGTTTGTTGAATTAGAAAAACGTTGTAAACCACTGACTTAGATGAATTATCAAGCTATATTAGTTCCATGATGCCCTGGACTGTTTCCAAGAAAATTAGTTTTCAGGTTCTGGAGAAATGTATGCTACTGCAGTAAAACTCAGTGAGGATCAATACTATGGGAACTCCCATGGCTGCTTCAGAGTCAAAGGAGCCCCAATTCCTCCTGCTGGGCAAGGAGGTACTTGCTCCTATATTTCTGAGTTGGAAACAAAAAAGGGCTCTTAACCACAAAAGCAATAGTTAGGCGTAATTGGAATAGGCCTAACCATACCAGAATTTAACCCCCAAATTAGTTTTAAAAGATGTGCATTTTGGCCTGGAAAGCCTTATCACTCTGAAAACACCAGCTCTGTGGAAAAAGGTGAGTCACCTCTAAAAACCAACTCACACACAAGATTCTGGGACAAACCTGCCAGACAGTGTACACTGTCTCAATTTCCCTCAGCAAGGCTGGCAGCAAAAAGTCCTGTTTGAACATAAGGTTAACACGCCACCAAAATCTCAGCTCCAGTGATACACCCAGTCTCATGGGATGTTCCCAAGGCTTTACTCTAGAGAAACCCCAAGCCAGAGCCACCTGCCTTCTTCTGGGCGATTGCAGCTCGCTGCAGCTTCTCCTTCACCTGATGATACTTCTCTTCTCTATCCTCGAGACGCTCATGAAGCTGATGCTTTTCTGCCAGCCACTGGATCTGCTTCTCTTCCAATGTCCTGTCAGAAGAACATAGAAGTTCAAGGAAGTCCAGGGTCACACAGGTGTCATCACAAGCACACGCACACTCATGGCCCATGTGATCACATCCCACATTGTCCCACTGCAGGTGCTTTGCATGTCCGCATTTCTGCAAATCCTGCATTCCTGAAACTTCCTATGAATGAGGTCCTGGGCTTAGAACAGTATGTCACTTATTCTTCGCTACAATCCTCTGAGTTAAGTATATCTGTCACCATCTTCTATTCTTTTCTTTTAATACATGAGGAAACAGGTTTAGAGCAGTCAGCTCACTTGTTTGTGGACTCACATCTAATTAATAGCAGGACAAATATTGATAACTATTATTGGGATGAACTAGGATAGCCACCAAGCTGTAAAAACTGAGCCAAGAAAAAAGTCAAACCTGCTCTCAAGTCTTAATGCAGTATGTTTTCTGCTAGAATAGAATCTATATAAATGATTTTAAAATAATATGCCATCTGACAGTTTTAAAGCTATTCTGCATACTTCACATGATTTTTAGCATTCTTACTGTAGGCAGTACAAATGAAAATAACAGCTCCGGAAGTCAGACTACCTGCCTAAGGTCACAAACATTTGAAGTGTCTCAGCCACGCTAAAATCTCATTCTACTGACCCCTAGGCCAGCTGAACCCTTCTACAAAATACCACAAATAATACCCAGAACCGAAGATTCGTGACTTAAATTCACTTAGCAACACTTTCATTAGAATTATGAGCTCATTTCAATCAAACATTTGAGAATTCCAAGATATAAATTTATTTTTTTGCAAATTTAAAAAAGATAACGTGGATCATACAGGATGACATAACATATAATGGACATAAATCTTGCCTACTTTCTTTTCTCGAAATTCAACCCCATATGTGAAACTGCAGACAAACCCTAAAATATGATATAACAGGAAAACTGAAGAAAAAAGTTTTATGTGGTATGTTGGCCTTCAGAAGAAAAAATCTGAAAAGAATATCATTTTGTAGATTAAAACAAAGATGTGTAACACCCACATGGTATAAAGGCAAAGCAAATACAGAATACTCTAGTGTCCTGCCAGGTCTAAAGACATTTCTCCAGATAATATAAGATCTTGAACATCAATAAAATCATTATTTCCTACCGGTTTACTACATTACTACTAATAAATTTCAAAACCAAAAAATATGTAAACAAAAAAATTAGCTTTTCAAAGTGAAAATCTAAGAAACTAGTTCTAATTCTAGGAAGTCAATTTAGCACATCAAAACAAACAAACAAACACCAAAAAAGAACAACAGGTCAGCACAGTGGCTCCCATCTGCAATCCCAACACTTTGGAAGGCTGAGGCAGAGCCACTGTACTCCAACTTGAGCAAAAGAGTGAGACTTCAATTCAAAATACAAAATAAAAAGAATCAAGAAAACAACAACAGCAAAACCCCACTCTATTCTCTGGCATTCAGAAGCATAGTTGGATTTTAGACATAAAAAATGTTCTGGTTTATTCAATAAGTATAAAAGTTTTTCATTACATATCTTCAGAATAATTAAACACATGACAGAATTTTAATATGTCTGAGTTTTATCTTTTTTTTAAACCATTCAAGAGTCCATGAAATTCATTCTATAGAAATGGGAATTCCACCACCTAAGACCACTGCACACCCTCAAACTAACAGAGAACACTTGTAACTAGCTCCCAAAGCACATTCTTCACGGACTCGCCATTCAGATAACCACACATGACACAGAGCACAGTCTGTACACAGAACAGAACCATCTACTTTTCGACCCCCAGCTGCGCCTGCTCCGCCTGGCTCCTTGAGCTCCGGCATTCTTGTTTCAGCCTCTCCACTGTCTCCTTCAGCATTTGGTTTGAATTCAGCAACTCACTCTCCGACTGCGCAAGTGAGGCCACTTGGATCTGCAAACTACTGATTTGCTTCAAGGAGAAGAAAGAAGATAAATATGTAAATAAATGCAGTGAAGTACGAGAGAAGCAGAAGTCGCTTAACACCTCCCCTCGCACAGGGCCCCCCAGCTGCTGTGCCCCGAGATGAAATCCTACATTGCAGCAGCCAGTTCCTTTCTTATTATCACCAAAGACTGTCAAGAACCCCATTCCCTGGCTAGCGAGTCCCCTCCCTCTTCCTCCCAAAATATGCAGGTCAGGAGAGGACCTGGACAGGGAAGGGTTGTCGGGAGGCAGGCAGGGTTGAGAAAAGGGGGGTTTGCAATGAGTGAGCCTCCTGTCACTCTGGTCTGCCCATGGCCTCCTAGGAAAGGCAGGCTAGGAGTGCAGTTCACGAAATCCACTCTCCCTTCCCACATGCCCTGAGATTGGGGAAATTCTGCTTTCTGAGCAGTCAAAATTGCTCTTTGCAAATATGGGAAGGATTACTTGCACACTGTTTTTGAAAGATGTCCAGTGCAGGGCAGAAGAAAGATGCTCCGAGAAACGGAATGAATGTTAGAAATCCTTTGGCTGCTACAGCCACTTGTCAAACCACATAACATCACTCAAGGTTTTGTGTCCTCCCAGTTAGCACTTTTTCTCATGAAAAGTAGTTAAGTCTCTAGTTATAGATTGGCAGGCTAGAAAGAGTCCCCCTGCCTCTAAGTTACATCCAAATACTCTTCATTTGGGACAGTGACAGACGCCTCCCTACCAACTTTTCACCAAGTAGTAAACCATAAAAGTCCTCACTTTTCCTTTACTTCCTTTGACCTCTCTTAGCCATCCTCTGAGAGACATTTCAGAGCAAAGACAGTCAAGAGGCAGGGAACAAAATAACCCATTAGGAAATTCAAGAGTAAAAAGAAAGAAGATTCTTATACAGTAAGCTAAATGAATGGGGGAAAAAACATTATTTCCTGATGGTAGCAAAGCCAAATGAGATGGGACTCTGAATGTCCACAGAGTGGTTGTTAGTAGAATAAAGCAAAGTGGTATGTCTCAGATTTCTGATTTAGAATGAATTTATTCATGTAGAACTATTAGCTCCTTATTTTGAATTGGAGTGGCAAATATTAAATCTGAATTACAGCTGCCTGGACAAGCAACTTTCAAAGAGCATAATACCTCTCCTTATGTACATATGACAGAAAGCCAATGCCAATGCCAATAAGGCACTTCTCTCAGGGGATCAAACATTATGCCCATCTGGCAAAGACCTCATTAGACATCATAACTGCACATGCAAAGCAGGACCAGCCACCATACAAGCACACATTCTAAAAGTAGAATCCTTGCCAGATGCGGTGGCTCATGCTTGTAATCCCAGCACCATAAGAGGCTAAAGCAGGAGGATGGCTTGAGCCCAGGAGTGTGAGACCAGCCTGGGCTGAGTAGCAAGACCTCGCCTCTACAAAAAAAGGAAAAAAGAAATTAGCTGGTGGTGTACCTGTATCCCAGCTACTCAAGAAGGGGAAGGAGAAGGATCACCTGAGCCCAGGAGATGGAAACTGCAGCGAGCTATGATCCTGTCCCTGCATTCCTGCCTGGGCAACAGTGAGATCTCAGTTCAAAAATTTTAAAAATTTAAAAAATAAAATAAAAATGGAGTTCTCATAACTTCATAATTTACAGGGAAAAAAAACCAGAAATGAAAATAAAACTCAGAAAAGAATACTCTTCCATGTTCTGCCCAATTTTATTTAAATCTTTCCTTAACCCAAGTAACTTTAATTAAAGTATAAATTTCCTTAAATAAGTACGACTCTTAGATTTCATAGATATATAGTAAAAAAAATAAGCTCATGAAACAAAATAAAGTTACAAGTCAATCATACAAGTAACTCTAAATCTAGGTGATCTTTCTAATAAATTTAAAAAATTCAAAATATTAAAATACTGTTCTTTTAAATTATAGTTAAATTTTTAAAAAAACATATCTGGGCCACAGAAGATGAGGGAAGACCCAAAAGAACATAATTTATTTATTAAAAAATTGTGTATTGATTCTTACAAGTTTAAACTTCAGTCACCTTCAAAGTACTCTCTGATGCAATACACCTATTGACATGCTTTTTCCAATGGTCAAAAAAGTTTTTGAACTTGTCAATTTTGACACCTTTTAGTGCTTCTGCTGTTTTTTGTTTCACCTCTCCCAAAAGTTTCCCTTTGAGGACTTTTTTAATCTGAGGAAACAAAAAAAAGTTGCTCGGGATAAGATCAGGTAAATAGGGAGGGTGGGGCATCAGGGTCATGTCGCTTTTTTTTTTTCCAAAAACTTGCAGTGTGGGCAGGTATACTTGTTAATCACCCATCATGAAATAAGCAAAAAGTGTTGAAAGAATCTCCAAAATAATTTGCTGAAGCCAAATACAACCTCTCACAATAATGCTAGCTGGTTACACTGATGCCTATGGGTTCCTAGAACACTCACCTAGCAGGGGAAGCCTGTACTACAAGAAGCCCATTCTGCAAAGATAATTCCAGGTTTTTTGGGTTCCCCTCGTATATACATATCTTAAGAATAACAGCAGTTAGCAAAAGAAGCTTACACAATAAAGCATAGCGGTTTAAACATTTTATCTTTACATATTAACCTCCATCATATCATCAACTGTGGTGATTAGGTTCTCAAAATACTGATAGCAAAATTTAAAAAATACGCAAAACATGAATTTAAAGACACATTTAAACAATAGAAAAATGTTTGCTAAAATCATACCTGTTTTAGGTCAGAATTTTCATGTTTTTCTTTCTCTGCATTTTCAATAGTCACAATTTGTTGTTGAAGTTTTAACCTAAAAATCACAACAAAAAGCATTATTAAGAATTCACAATTCATTTACTGCACTGAAGTAGACATTTTACTGAGTGCTTGTTTGCCACTAGGCACTGTGATATGCAAAGTGGCAGGCAGAACCAAAAAGTGAGACTTCAAGCAGCTGGGTGACATTCACATACAACATAATGTAACACAAGTCACTCACTGCTCTTGAAACAGGAAAACTATGAATGATGGGCATAGAGAGGATGAGGAAACACATTGCCCAGGGGAACCAGAGAATACCACAGGGATGAAAACCTGGCAAGTAGGGCTTTTTTTTTTTTTTTTTTTAATTGTGTCGAAGTATCATTCTGTCACCCAGGCTGGAGTACAGTGGCATGATCATGGCTCACTGCAGACTTGACCTCTTGGGCTCCGCTGATCCTCCCCCCTTAGCTTCCCAAGTAGCTGGGACTACAGGCATGAACCACAGGACCAGGCTAATTTTTTTTTTAATTTTTTGTAGAGACGAGGTCTTGCAATATTATTGCCCAGGTTGGTCTCGAACTGCTGGGCTCAAGTGATCCTCATCCTCCAAAAGTGCTGGGATTACAGGCATGAGCCAACACACCTACCCTAGGCTTTTGATGAACACAGGAAACAGGCAGCCTATGGTGAAAAAGCACAAAATGTGCTGCCAGGGCATCAGAAAGTAGAAAGTCCAGTTTGGGAGAGGCCAACTTACATCCAAACAGTATTTTACAATTTACAAAATGTTTTCAGGAAACACTGCTAATTCATCTACATTCTACAAGGGTACAGATTTTAAAAAAGAAAACTGTCTAATACAGGACACCATCCTATATAATATAAAAGATCTTAGGAACTTCTCTTCCCTGAGATGAATAAGCACTTACACAATTTGCATCCTCTTCAAAGGAAATGATACATCTTCAGCCAGAGTCTTAAAATGTAGAGCAGCTCAGGTGACCAGATGAGGGAGACGTTACACTAATTAGGTCTGGCAGGACAGGCCCCTCGACTGCTCCCTTAAAAATTCTTCAAACACATATCTCAAATATAAGTCACTTGGCATTTACTATTTATGGCTTAGAATTACCAACATGTCTTATCTGCCCAATTAGAAGGTGTTTATTGAGACAACATTCAAGAGTTCAAGGCTGGACTTTAAATATAGTAAAGAATTCAATAAACATCTGTTGATGGACTGGGAGAAGCAACCCAAATCGGGCTAAGACTCAGCTGGGACCACCATGCCTCGCTAACTTGGTGCTTTCAGGTTACTGAGTTAATAAAGGTTTCTTTCCACAAAACCATAAAGATGAAAATAGAAGCAAGTACACAGGTTCTAGTTCAGGGCCGAAGGTAGAAAACTTAGGTTCAAGTATATCCCAGCTCAGGTTGAGAATCTGAATACACTTGGTAGATGACTAAGAAATAAGTCCCAGTTAAACAAGCACTCAGGCCTGAATGCTTTCTATAGAAGCTACACAGATATGAAGAGAAACAGCAGTGTCCTTCAAAGTTGAAGCCAAAGAAACCAATGGTAAAGAGCACCTGAGTATCATTAAAATATGAAAGAATGGGAAAAACTAACTAAAATAGGAAAGCAATCAGAACACCTTGACAGTGGCCGATAGGAAATGACACCCAGGCCCTCAGTTCATTTCAGTGAAGCAGCACTAGGTTAGAATCTAAAACTGGTTTTATTTTTAAGGAGAAAATTACTTCATGATTTAAGATGATTACATTTAGATTCTATGGCTAAAGGAATTCAACATAAATAAAACTAACTTTAATAGATATTATCAAGGTTTAGGACTAAGACCAGTTATCTTAAATCTACCTTTTTGAACAAAGCATTAAAAAAAGTAGAAACAGTTTCAAAAGACAGTGCTATAGATTTAGGAATAATGTACAATATCCCTTTTGGTTAGAAAATTTTGAGTATTAAAGGTGCATCACAACAATTCAACCTTATAACAGAAGAAAGTACAATTAATTTTTGCCTGGGCACGGTGGCTCGGGCCTTTAATCCCAGCACTTTGGGAGGCTGAGGTGGGAGAACTGCTTGAGCCCAGGAGTTTGGGACCAGTCTAGACAACATAGTGTAAGACCTCATCTCTAAAAAAAAAAAAGAAGGAAAATATTAGCCAAGCTTGGTGGCACACACCTGTAGTCCCAGCTACTTGGTAGGCTGAGGCAGAGGGGATCACCTGGCCCAGGAGGTCAAAGCTGCAGTGAGCTGTGATCACACCAGTGTTTTCTAGCCCAGGTGACAGGGTGACATCCGGCTCAAAATAAAATTTTTTTAAAATAAAGTGCAATTAATTTTCATTAGGGGATCAGTAAAGAGAAGCAATTTGAATTGGACCTTGAAGGCAAAATAAGAGTTTGAGAAAGAGAAATTAAAGATACAGGTAAAAAGTGTAGCAGAAACTGAGGCGATGGGACTACCAGCACTTTACTAGTTTACTTTGGAAGTAAAGGCAAAGGGCAGTCTTACTAAAATGGAAAGAGGAGAGACTGGATGAAGAGTAGCAAGAAGCTAAAATTCACATCCAGCAGGCTTCGCTCATGTGCAAAGAAGAACACAGCTAAGCAGCTGATGAACGGTTTCCAAGCAGAAAATGAGGCCAGGGAGCCATGTCAACAGGTTGGAAAAAAAAGGGAAGGACAAGGATTGCACATTGCAACATCTCCAGTGGGAGTTGAGAGGAGAAGGGAAAGGGAAGATATTTATGTGTTTGAGTGCTCGGCTCCAGAGGACTTCAAGGCCCAGGAAGTGTCGAGGTGCACCGGGTGCTGACATGGTATCAAGAACGCCAGATGAAGACAATGCCAATGGTGAGGCTGAGGTGTCGGACACTTCACAGTATGGAAATGGTGCCACTAGGAGGAGAGTCAGGGACAGAAAAGTGGGAAGAGTTGAGCCAGGTCTCTCAGTCCCAGTAATGTTGGGTAACATCCTACAGGTCACCAAGGGAAGAAAGACAAGACAGGGAGAAACTGGAGGCAACAGATGTCAAAGGAAAAGTCATTTCATCCAAAGTCAGCCAGACAACGACCTAGAAGCAAGAGTGGGGTTTACAAGTAATGATTTCCCTCCTTGGCCCCTTGTTGCAGAAGACAAAGGAAGAATAATTTCTGCATAAAAGGGTGGCCAGGCTATGTGCCATCAGGACAAAGTCAGGTTTCAGTGAAGGAGTGTTCAAGAACAAAAGCTGAGATTGCAAAAAAGCAATAGCTAATAGAATGAGGATTCCAGAGGCTATGGTGGAAACTGTTAGAAGGAGAGCTTTTACGAGCAGGTGGGAGGGAGAAACCTGGCGAAGGATGAGCAGACAGGGAATAAGGAGTTATGAGGTTAAAGTAGCCACGGAATAGAAATCGCAGCTGACCCGGAGGCCCAAGGTACCACAGGGAAGGCAGCTGTGAATAAGTTCAAGTGGAAATCCTGGGATGCTGTTAAGTTCCAAGTTCCCTCCAGAGGACAAGGTAGCCAACTGTTGGAACCAGTATCCAGGTGTACTGTGGCAGGTGGCTGAGCTGTGCTATTTCAACACTCAGCACATAGTTCCTGAGTGCCTGTACTGCTGGCCTGTATACAAGTGCTATGCATACATTAAAAAAAATCACAAAGACAGAATCCCCACCCTCAGGGAGTTTGTCATCTGACAGTGCTGACACAGCTTTATCGGGGACGGAACAGTTTATGGTCTGTGCCATACAAGATGACAGCCACTAGCTGCATGCTGCCACTGCACATTGGAAATGTGGCTAGAGTGACTGAGGAACTGCGCCTTTAATTTTTAAAATCTTAATTAATTTAAATAGCTATATGTGACTAAAAAAACCGTAATGGGCAGCTCGAGGGTGACTTAGTTTCATTTGATGTTAGTCTCCCCTAATCAAAGGGAAGCAACACACTGTCGAGCAACATGAGTTGTATGTGTGACTCCTAATAAGCTTTGTGAGAATGACAGAGGCCTCCTTCCACCAACTTCTGAAAGCATGGTTCTTGCTTGTGAGCAATAGAAATGGACTCCGGCTGATATTAGCAAAAAGGGACTTTCCCAAAAGGATTAAAGAATCCACTGAATCATAAGAGAGCTACAGAATCAAAACCAGGATACAGTAATGGGCAGGAATCACAGGCAGACAGGCCACAGGACAGCCTACTCCTTCAAGCATGGTCACACACCCTTCCAGCCCTACTTCGCAGTTCACATTCTGGAAGAATGCATTTGCAACTGGCCAACATAATTCTCCTCAAGATGGGGTGTGAGTTTAGAAAGGTGAATATAGTTAAGTGCTGGGTAAAAAAAAGCAAATGTCCACTATTGGCAGCAAAGACATCCAAACTGATGAAACCCAAATGTTTATAAGAAGTTCAATAAACAATCAGAAAGTCTCAAGTGGAAAATAGAGACCTGGTTTTCAGTCATGCAAAGATAAATGCAGGAGTATTTATTACAGGATATCATAAATGATCAAACTCTCTTTCCCTTGCAACTGCTATTATTTCCTCCAAAACCTCTCCTCATTTCTGACATCAAACTGCACACTGCCCACTTCCTTCTCCCCACCCGCTCCACAAACAGACACAGGCATGCAGCCTGGGCTGAGCCACAATGCCAGCCCACAGCCACAGGGGTGGCCCAGGAATGGGCATGTGACCCATACCCAAGCTCTGCCCTCAATTTTTCTGAGTTAGAAATTAAGAACTCTGTCCTCTTTGGTCTCTACATATGGTCTTGGGTTCACAAAGAAAGTGGTAGGGAGGAAGCAGACACAGGAGATAGGAGGAGAAGAAAGCAGGAGGGCGAGATCACATCTGAGCTCCCAGATCCAGGTGTCCAGGGGGACAGCATACCTCCGACCTTTCCACAATTCATGTCATTCATAAGTACCTCCTCCTGCTTGCATCAGGGGAAGATGGGTGGCTGTCATAACGATGGACTGCATACTCCATTATATTTAAGTTCCTGCCATTTTTACATGCTTTTAATC